ATATGATGCAGATGATGAGACGAAAACAGCAAGTGAAACTCAAGTAGGTCATGTAGAAAATAATACATGTCAAATAAATAATATTCATTTCAAAATATAATGTATTTCAACATCGAAATTTGATTGATCATTAGTTAACATGGCTTACCAAGAGAAAAAATTTTTCTTTTTCGATCTACATAAGATCGATGTCTCTAGTTTATTTCGTTCAGAGGTTATTGAGATTTTCTTGAAACGTCCGATTCCAGTGAATTGATCCAGCATCATCCGAAAAAGTAGTTCACCATGTTGAGTCGAATGATGATGTTTATTGTTAACGTTGAACTCATCTGACACCGTTATCTCAATATTTTTGAAATATCAACTCCTTCATTTCATGCAGGCAGATTGTAGAATCTGAGAAAACAGTGTTAGATCAGTTCGAATCTAAAAAATAAATATCACCACTTGACTCAATATGATAAACTGCCTCTGTCTAGCTGCTGTTCCAGATCGGTTAGCTGAAATGAGGATCTCAGAAAGTCTTATAACTCTTGAACGGAGCATGCTAGGAATGTTGACCTTGTGTAGATGAAAACAACAAGAATTATTCTTATCGATAGGTCATATTAATAATCAAAATTGAAAATAGAAAGGGCTTCAGGATATCGTTTTGAAAAATCTTCACCAAAAATTCGTCTGATTGGTCAATTGCTGAACAATCGAATTTCGATATACTTCCACAATCCTTGGTCTTCTCTTTTGGATGATGAAAATCGTAGATCTCCTTGATGTTTCTATCATAAAACAATAGAGTACATTTTATTTCGAAATGGATATTAGATTTGAATTTTCCCATCAGCATCCGATATTATTAGTTAGTTATATTTGTATGACAACTCTCTATGTACATAATATACGATATAGAACAAAAAAGAAAATATTTTGAAGCTTTTAAAAAAGATTCAATGAATTTTAGTAGCTCCTTAACATGTATGAAGAAAAGAAAATATTTTGATTGTAATAATGAATAGATCAAATGAGCGAAAGAATGGTTAGAACAATTTCTTTAATCGGAACTAGAACCATACTTATCGACCTCTCATAAACAACAAGAAAAAAAAGGTTATAAATAGTCTAATTTATAGAGTATTCGACGTTCCATAGAAATATATAATTCATTTTAATTTCATTGTTTCTTCGATCGACGGCCCATATATTGCTTAATCAACACTTGAATACTTTTGTGTAAAATAATACAAAATAAATTCTAACATTCTCTACGACAGAATTGATAGAATAAGAAACTTATTAAAAAAGAAAATGAAGAAGAACAATTCTTGTACTTTTCTTTTTTTTGAGATAGAAGAAATTTCTTAAATTAAACTATTATACTCACTTTATTATAAAAAACGTTGTGTTCTAAAAGCAAACAAAATTTCAGTTGTTAATTTTGTTTTTATTCAACAAAAATTTATATCATATAGGGTAATGCTTTTTCTGTTGAATCTACTGGAAAATATTCTTTGCAATAAAAATTCAACTTAGCAAACTATATCGAACAGATCTACTTATTGAACGGTTTTTTTTCCCCGACTAATTGCTTTCTCTGTACTATTGGATCAAATAATTTGAACTGTTTCAATGAGTAAATCGATTTTTTTATTATTAAATCTTGGTACAAATTGAAACATAAACTATTTTATCGTCAGTATAAATTCTCATGTTCAAATATTAATCATCCAGACTAAACTACTCCCCGTATTAGAAGCTCTAGTACTTCTATTGTGTCTAGACAATTCTAGTTTTTTTTGAGCAAATCTTGACTGATACTATTAAATTAGTCTTGGTCATATGCCTTGAATGTTTCTCCAGATGTCAAATACTCATGATTAAGAATACCATCTAGAAGTCGCTTTCATTTTTCGTCAACGTCTGATATTCATATTTCTTCTTCTGGTAACATCATGATGTGAAGAGGCTGTCTGCATCTTCTCTTGAGTGATACTCAAGTAGTATTAGTATTCCTTTCTAAAGTTTTTGAATGCTTGGATATTTTAGAAGTTCCGAAGATTTCTATTACACTGAGAAGGGTATTATAACAAAGCACTTGTCGAGTATTTTCTTAGATAACAGAAAACAATAGAAAATTTGACGATATATTTCCAGTATAATAACCTGTCGAAATGTACATCTTCTCGTTACTCTTAAAAACTATTAATTTTTGTCTTATCTAGACTATTACTCAAACATTCAATTCTACTAAACGTCCATTAGTATTTCAAAACATTCAAGATGAAACAACAAATGTAATACATCCAGAAATTTTAACAAATAGTAGACTAATACGACCAGATAAAATAGATTTATTTAATCAATCATTAAATGAAGATTTATTAGATAAATCTGAATCGAATAGTTATCAAACATGTCAATCATCAACAACAACAACAACAGTAAAACATAAAAAAGAACATAAATTAAATGAAAAACAAAAATTTGATGAACAATATCAAACAAGTCCTGATGAAAGTATTTTTCTTATACGTGAACGTGAACGTGGTGTTTCATTACCAGTTACAGTAAAAATTGATTGTGATGATATAACATTACGTTTATCAGCATCTACACCTATTGATAGTCAATTATATTCAAAATTACCACTGGAGTTATCATCATCATCATCATCATCATCATCATCATTAATTCATAGTGAACCATCATTATCTGTTAAAATAGATTCAAATAGTCGACCAAGTTTATTATCATTAAATAGTAATGAAAATGATCAAAAAACATTACCATCTTGGTTAAATACAGTTAAAACAATAACAACAACTAAAGAAAGAACTGATGCACGTATGTTATTATTAAAATGTCTTGTTGATAAATATTTTTAACTGTTTATTATTCTTTTTTTTTTTGTTTTTTGTTATTTCTATAGCACTTGAATCTCGTGTAACTTTTCTTAAATCTGCAAAAGGTCCAATTAGTATTTCTCAATGTAATCCACAAGGAAATTATATCATGATTGAAAATACAAGTCAATCAAAAATTATTGATCTTTCAAATTGGACAATACGTCAAGAAAATGATAATGGAGATAATTTAATTTTTACATTTCCTGATGATTGTCATTTAGAACCAAATCATTCATTAAAAGTAACTAAAATTCTATGTTTATTTTTTTGTTTTTTTGCTACATAATTTATTCTATTAGATTTTAACAAAACCAAATGAATCTCAACAAGAAAATAATGATCTTATAGCTTCATCTTTATCATCATGGTATATAGGTTCTAATGTTATTACAATATTATATAATTCTGAAGGCAAAGTAAGAGATTAATAAATTTTTAATTCATTTATACGATAAGAAAAAACAAAATATAAAATTATAATTTTTTATTATTTCAAAATTTTGAGAGAATTTCTAATTTATTCTTTTTCTTTTTTAGGATCGTTCGAGATTAATCAAGAAAACAATATTCTCTTGATTGTTTTTTTTCTTATTTCTATTTCTATTTTTTTTTTTGTTGTACACATATCATCGATCTTGTTTTTTCAATTACGAACATTGACAAAGAAATATTTGTTTTCTTTTTTTTTTTTTTATTGTTTGAATGAGAGAAAAAAAAACTTATTGTCAACATTAATTTTTAAATATAAAGTCAACAAAAAACAAAACAAAACAAAAGAATAGAATGTTTTATATATTTATTAGATAGCAATATATAATTTTTCTTATCAATAATCATTAATATTATTAAATGGTTCATTTACAACATACAATATGAATAGTAAAATAACCGGAACAAAAAAAACTAATTATTTTACCATTTAGAAAATCAATAATAGATGTCAACTAAGTGTGTTCTATATCTATTATTTAGCGTACTTCCTTCTTTGCATTACATATGAATCTTGAATCACTAGTTAGAAAAAAAAAAACATACAAAGCATTTTATTGACATCAGTTGATCGTGACATGCAATTCGAGAATAATTGTCCTTGTAAATATGAAAATGATGAAATTATATAAAAACAAAACAAAATCAAATAAAAATTCTTTTTTGAATAACTTCTATAACTCAGACATTAACGATTCTTTATGTCTACATTGATTATTATGAAGAGTTCAAGATAGCAAAATTTTATAAGAGTAGAGGATAACATGTTATTTAGATTATATGGGAAAGAAAGACATCGTTGGTTTTCCCAATGGTATAAGAATACTTATTTTGTAATCCTTAGACATTACTACATTTAATTAGGATGAAAAAAAAAGTCCACATAATTTTGTGTTTAAACTATCATCTTTTTTTCATTACGTACCGGTTATTGATAATGATGAGTGCATTGCACGTGTGTTGTTTTTTTTTGTTGTCAAGGGAAAAAAAACAGAAATTAATAACTCAGAATTCTAGTATGTATTTGTTAAAAATAGTCATTTACTAAGTTGTAGAATAGAATCGATGCATTAATTATAATACTTATTATATAAAAGTTCCATAATTTAAATCCGTTTGATTAGCAATTCGTTTCAATTGATGAGACAAAGAAAAACGATTAATCAAAAGAGACTAGTTGTTCAAGAAATATTACTTCAAGATACGTGTCAATCTTTGAATAGAATTTAAATTAAAATACTTTCAATAGGTTCTCATTAGGTAGGTCTATTGTGAGTTGTTTATCACACTTACGCACATTTTATACGTCAATTTCTTTCAATATATTTAAGAAACGTTCTTTCTAACGTTTTCTTATTTTTTTAAATAAATAAATAAAAAAAAAAAAAAATTCTTATTTTCGATTTGATCAAGGTTAATAATGATATTGATTCATTTAAAGTAATGATATTTTAGTTTTTAGATTTATTTGAATAAAGCAAATACCCATTTACATGTTTACAGGAAAAAAAATGAAATCAATAAAGGCATAAATGTCTCCGAAAGGACTGGAGCGATCTCACATTAGCGCAATTGAATTGTGCACTTCATCAACTAAACAATTTATTCTTATCATAAATTATGCTTAATAGTAGTTCCATTACTAGCCAATGAATCAGTTGATGTTCGACATCGTAAAACTCGAATAGTAACTGGTGATACTCGCCGTTGACTATGATTATTATCATTCATCTGATAATTGGTATGATTTCCTATATGACGTCGATCAATTGATGTTTGTACTGTATTATTAGTTAAATGAATTTTAATTGCAATACTATGAAATAATCGTTTAAGTTCATGACGAAATGCTTTACCGGTTATAGCATAAAGAAAAAAATTAATCTTAAACAATAAAAAAAAAAAAAAAAACAAATACCAATAATTAATCAACACATTCTTCTTCATTTTTTTTTTTCTAAATGAAAACTTACACAATGATTTGAATATTGTAATGTTTCACATAAAGGTTTAAGATAAAGTTGTGTAAATAAATTATTATTTTGTTGTTGTATATTTATATAAATTTGTAAACAAACCATTGGAAATGATGTTAATAAAAAAAAGACTGTTACAGCTAAAAGCATTGTTGTTAATTTTCTTGACATTGTTGTTGATAATTTATTTTTATTTCGATTTCGATGTGATTGATATATTTGTAAATTTGATGTTGAACGACGTGCATGAAATAGACTAACTACAATAATTAAATTTATTGTTAATAATAATATAAATGGTAATGCTGAATATACAGCTGCATCAATCCATGGCCATATACGTTGAATAAAAAAATCATAAGATTCATGTGATGTACATTCATTTTCTGATGATAAATAATGTGTAAATAAAAAATGTATATTTATTATAAGACTACATAAAACAAGTATGCAAACAGATATTCTTGCTCGTCTTACAGTACATATTGAACTAGCATGTAATGGACGTGTTACAGCAATACAACGATCAGCTGACATCATACAAACAATCCATACACTTGTATCCGATACTGTATAAAATAAAACTGACAGTATTTTACAACCATATGTTGATTGTAATAATAATGACCATTTTCGATTTAATAAATAAAGCCACATAACAGTTAAACCAAGAAGAAGTACACTTGTATCAGCTATTGCTAATATACCCATATAATAACATGTCGAAAGATGACACATACGTCGACGTCTCATAATAACAAAAATTAATGTATTACAAATGACACCAATTAATACCATACAAGGAAAAAGTACAAAAGAAATTTGACGTGGAAGTGTCGACGATAATGGTATTGCTGTTGTATCATTTGATTTTATTGTTAAATTAACACTTGACATGTAAGAATATTCTTGATGACTGTTCATCGAACATGATATAATTCATTAACTATAAAAAAATAAAATATATTCATTGATTTACACATCAAATTTCTTTTTTTTTTTTTTTTTGTTGATTACATTTATTCCTGTTATCGGTAGGTTTCTCGAATAATTTAAAAGGAAAACATCTTAATACGACCACTTTCAACGAACAAAGAATAAATGAGAAATCATTATATGTGAATGAAGAGATTGACGATAAAAATTTTGCTTTGAAACTAACTAGGGTCAAAATATGTAAAAAAAAAAATAGAAAAGAAAATGAAGAATCAATAGTCCTCCGCTTTAACTTAAGTCATCGGTATCGACATACGTCCTTTCCTTATTTTTCTCCTTCTTCTCTTTTTGATTATTTCTATTTTTCTATATATATATATATATATATATTCTCTTATCTTTGATAAAAAAAAAAGGAATTTTCTTTTTTGTGACGAACTAACAAAAACAAGGGCACATTCTATTACAGACCATAAAGTATGCTCTTGTATTTGTTCGTTATTACCCTTATATTCATCTACAATAAACATAACAAAGAATAATCTTTATTAACATAATACAATATGAAAGAATACACCTTGTTATTTCATTCTTTTCGTTGTAAAATATCATGACACAAATATAATAGTTTCATCTTAGTGTAAAACAAACAAACCGAAAAAAAAACATTTCTAATCGAATGATAATAAATATCGGCTTCATTTAGTTTTGGTTTCTTCTTCTACTCGTTCACAAATATGATTCTCATATTAGTTTCAGATCGACACATTTTATTTTCTATCGTTGCCATCATCAATATTTGATTGGTGTAGATAGGGAATACTATCATGATAGGTCTAGTTGAAAATGCGGCACATTATAGTCTGCTTCTTTTTTTCCTTTAGGTACTATTGTTGATCGTCAACAAATATATATATATATATATATAACGATGTTGTGAATTAGGATTATGATTTGATTTTAAGAGAAGGAGAGACCAAAAAAGCCTAAGAACAATGGTATGAAATTCAATCTTACTATTATGTAGCTCGATGATGGAAAAAACAGATCAGAGTTAGTGATAGGCCCAATTCTCTGTTGACAAAAGATGATCACCATTAAAGGAAATGAAAAGATTGAATAGATGAAAATAGAAAACAAAGTAGATATTTCAAGAAAAGGATCCTTGAGATTTCAATCAACTATACATAAGAAATTAGCTCAAATCAAAATCATGAAATCGAGTTGAGTTTTTTTTTTCTTCATATAAAAACTTTAAACAAAGAAAAATCTGTTCATGAAATTGATATGATGTCAAAATGTCAACCATAATGGATAAAACTAATTTCATTATAAATAAGATGGAAAAAAATGATCCGAATTATATTGTATTGTGATGCATGAAGCATGGCACGAATGATAGACATCATATTTTCACATTCTACATTACAAAATTGTAACAGATTCATCAATCTATTCTTGTGTGTAAGCAAAAAGAAACAATATTCAATTTTCACACATTTATAAAATTTGACATTAACTAATAATTTTATTGTAGTAATAATATTTATAATTAAATAGGGTAATAATGTTTCTTATAGTTGACAAACGATAAAATAAAAAATGAATTGATGTACCAAAACAAAAAAAAATTCAAAAAGAATTATATATTAGAGTTATTCTATTGACATATTTTTGCATATTAAGATAATTGACTTTTGTAATCAAATAAAAATACTAGACAACGTAATTGTATATTAATATTTATGGTTATAGTTATGGAAAATTAGAACTTATTTTCTCCATGGAAAAGCATTGTTTACAAGTCTAATGAATATATATATATATATATATATATATATTTTTATTGTATTGTTTCATCATGTCGTCTTGCTAGACGAAGAATTTTTTCATGAACAACTTTTCAATATTCAGAAAAGAATTAATAATATTATATATTTTTAAATTAATTTATTCATGAAGTTTTTCTTGTTTTCTATAAACTCATAATCCTGTTTAATAACAAGCTTTATTTGAATATCAAACGTTCAACAATTCTGATGATGATACTTGAAGGTGAATGTATATAGAAAGTTTTTTTTTGTTTTTTTGTTTTTCTATAGATCAAAGTAGATTGTTAGTACATTCAAATTTATTTGATGGCAAACTAAATTAAGTTTGTGAGATAATTAAATAATCTTAATCAAATAAACTATTGTCTAATAAAATTACAAAAGTTTTTGTTTATTTCTAAATAATAACAAAAATTATTAAATATTTAGGTGAGATTATTATTTTGATTGAATATTTTTCGAAATTTTAAGAATCTTTGTTTTAGATCTTAAAGAAAATGATAAAATAATAAAAATAAAATCAAACAAACAAAAAAAGCTTACGACACTCGGTATTCCCAGGCGGTCACCCATCCAAGTACTAACCGAGCCCGACGTTGCTTAACTTCAGTGATCGGACGAGAACTGGTGTATTCAACGTGGTATGGCCGTAAGCGAATGTAAATATATTATTTTTTACTATCAAGAAGATTAAAAAATATCATAAGAGTGAGTGTACGATTCATTTATTATTCTAATGATCTCAAGTAATTCTTGTCCAAAAACTCGAAATAGAATTATAATTTATTTGAATGAAATCTAAAAATGTATTTTATTATTCTGACAATCATTTAGAAAACTAATACTTAGTACTGGACGCAGGGAGAGGGGTGCGTAGGGTATGACACACCCCGTACAACTGAGATACATAAGCAATAATTTTGTTCCCAATGATCCGATTACTTTTGCATTACATATTACTTTTGATTATTTTTTTCTATAATGTTGAGTATCTAACTCAAATTCAGATAGTGATTTTAATAGCCAATAAAGTTTCCTTTTACCAAAATTTCATAGATGATCTATGTATGATGACGAGTTTTCCAAAAAATCGAAAACGGTAGTTTGCAAATCCCGGAAGCTATTTTTTTAACAATGCTAATTTAACGAGGACAAAATGAGGAGTTTTTGATAAATTTCATTGCTTTTTTTATAGTGCTTTGAATTTTTTAAGAGGAGGTTGCAGAAAATGCAGCGATCCCTCATTTTGTGCTCTTAAAATTGGAATATTAAAAAAAAAAGTAGTTTCTGGAATTTGTAAACTATCGTGTCTAGTTTTTTTAGAAATCTTAGTACAAAAAAACATCCATTGTTTAAAACCATAGAATATTTTGCTATAAACTTGAGTTCTAATCTCGTAGTCCTGGTTCGGATCTTACGTATCTCTATTCTCGATTTAATCAAAGTTTTATCATTTTTCTTCATGCCACAAGCTCCTTGCTGACTTGTCATGAAATGTTAATAAACATATTTTGTCTCTTATCATTAGCATAGTTTTTATAACATTCTTTGTGATACATTGAAGTTTGTTGATTACAAAAAAAAAAAAAAGAACAGACGAAATACAATATTAATTCTATTCTAGAGATGAAATAATAGAAGTTCCGAATGTGATTTAAGCATTTGGTGCAAGCATACGTTGAACAACAGGATCATTTTTACATCTAATTTGAAAAAAAAAGTAAAAAATCGATTAAAGAAACAAAAAAATAAATGTAAAGATTTCTTACCCAGCAATAAATTCTTGTTTGTTTAATTTCTTATCACCACTAACATCTAATTTAGTAATAATTTCTGCAGCACGTTTCTTTGGATCACGATCACCTTTACGATCAGTTTCACCAAGAAGATCATACTAAAAAGACAAAGAGAACAAAAAGAAAAATATTTACTAAATAAGAATAAATTAATCAATCATTTACCATCGCCAAGATCATATTAGCCAATTCTTTTTGATCAATTTGTCCATCACCCGATACATCATACCTTGCAATAAAAAATAAAAATAAAAATAAAAATAAAAATCTATTCCATATAATATAAATCTTATTAATTTACATTTCAAATGCAACTTCTAAGCGATCATTTAAATCTCCTTGACTTGTAGCAGCAATAGCCAAAAGAAATTCATCAAAATCAATAGTACCATCATTATTAGCATCGAAAGTAGCAAATGCATATCTTAAAAAGTCAAAAAAAAAATCAAAAAAAAAATAATATTCAGATTTTTTATCTACTTGCAAAAAGAATCAGCTTTCCCTTGTGGATAAAATTGTTTGTATACTTCAATGAATTTCTTTTTGTCAAGTTTACCACTAGGACAATCACGTAGAAATCCCTTGAGACAAAAAGACAAAGACAGTTAATTTGTTAACGTTTGACAAGTACTTACTGCATGCCAATCACGAATTTCTAGAAAAATAAAAAAAAATAAAAAATAAAAATCAATATGTGATATAGATTAAATACTTACCTTTTTCACTAAATCTAGTATTTGCTTTAAGCATAGCAATTTCTATGAATAGAAAAAAAATTTGATAAGAAAAAAAAGTATTAACATAAAAATAACGAAACCTTTTGGTGTAAGTTCAGTAGATGATCGTGACTTTTTACCACTTTTATTACCCATAATTGATAGACTTGATTTCTTTTATTAATTTGAATAAAGTTCTAAAAACAAAAAAAAAGAAATAAACAAGGGATGACTGAACATAAATATTTCAAACAAGTTTTTATTATAGAAAAATAATATGTTGTTGTCATTTCTAAGTTCATATCGAATGGCATACATACAATGTTGAAACTAATAATACTTATAGAGAAGAGAAAAAAAAGAAATCAGAGAGTGAATAAGAGAAATAAAAATAAGAAGGAATCTAAGAGTTCGTTGCGTGTATGTATGCATAGAATAGATAGAAAGAGAAAATAATGATAGATCACAGCATCGGATCCGACGTATAATAAAGAGACATGTCTATAAAAAGACACCAAATGTTAAATCATCAATGCAATATTCCTTTTTTTTCTCTGCTTATCTTTTATGTATTAACAATGTCGGTTAGTCTGATTTATTATGGAATCTTATGGTAATCGATAACGCTTGAAAAGTCGCTAAAAATCAGTTTGCCAATATTAGAAGGACACACATCATATAGAAAAGAAAGATCAACAACATATGTAGCCGATGGGTGCGTGTCGACGAAAAGAATTTGCATCGTTGCCATGCCATTACTATCGAACACGTCTAATAAATAAAAATTTAACTATAAGAAATTAAATGCTTCTATTTTCTTAACTTTGATTCATATTTTAATATATTCGTCTTTGTTTTTATTTCTTTCTCGCACAATTCTTTGTTATATTATATTCTTTTTCCATCGATTGTAACCGCTACAAGACATTTTCTTTCCTATTCTTTGATTAATGTTTTTTTTTCTTATACATTAAATGAACATGTAATCAATCATTGAGATAGAAATAGAAATTTTAAGTTACATTTCCAATGGGAATACATATATATATATATATATATTGGTACAACGAACACAAATAATATTTCTATTTTTATTTTTCCATTAGAACACCACTAAGAAAAAGAACATTGATTTCCTTGACACCAATAAATCTGAATAAGAAAAATTAAGTCGAGTCTGTAAATTACCTGGCATTCTTGTCAAAAAATTGTTTGTATCAAAAACAAAACATTGACATATGCAATCATTTTAGTGTATTGATCAAAGATCTATTGAAACTAGATCTAATTATTGGATAGATCAATATCATTCGAAAAACAGATTGATTTTATTTTTGATTGATGCTCTTTTTCTTTTTTTTATCTTCCTCGTTTTGATTATCTCTCTTGTTGTTCAACAACAGTTGATTGTACTCAATATCGGGAAAAAAAAGTCATCAATTATTAACAATATAATTACTGACGATTGACAAATTCTAATTATTTCCAGAGGTAAAATATTCTTATCCATTTCAGGCATACTCAATTTTCTTTCCTATTTAAATTTATACTCGTAATGTTGAAATAAATATGACAACTCTTTACTTTGCTGATCAATTATCTTCGAACAAAACTATAATCTATAAAAGATTTTTCATTTCACCTATTTTGTATTAGTTTAATGAGGCTATAGAACACGTGTGAGTTCCATATGTTAGCTCCAAAGGGAGTGTGCACTAAAAAATTTTCTCTTATAAAATTAACTGTGCGAGAAGTTGAAAAATTTTTTTTTAGTTTTCTCATTCAAAATCTCGACTTCTTCTAGGAATTCGCATAAAGCATTAATATATCATAAGCAATTTATTTATTCATTCATTTGATCCATAGTATAATTCATTACGTATACTTCTCATTAACTAAAAATTTGATTTAGTTCATTTAAGACTTCCAGAAAAAATTAATATAGATTTATATATAAGTGAATCATCATTAGTGTATATAGATAATTTCTTTAGCTATGGTTTTATTTTATATTAATAAATTTTCAGCAACAAAAAAAAAAAGAAGAAATATACGAATGCACATGCATATTTGCACAATAGAAATTAATCATCATCTAGATCTTCTGGTCTTACAGGATGTGGAATTGATATTAATGATTTTTTATCAATATCTCTTGATAAAGCTTTTCTCATATCTAAAAAAAAAAATAAGCAACAAATTTCATTTTTATTTTTATAAAGAAAACTAATTATAATATTACTGTACCAAATGCATCTTCATCTCGTTCTCCTGAGTAATAACCGATAATACGTCGATAGACAATATAATTTAATTTGTGATACATGTCAACAGCTCGCTTATTTGATACACGAACAAATAGATCAACAAAATATGTTTTTTTCCTATATTGATTGACATACATAATAGTTAAACAAAAATAAAATAACCAACTGTTCGGAAACTTGTTCTAGCAATGCCATTAGTTGTGATGAAACTCCAATACGACGAAATTCAGACGCTACTGATAAAGCAGTAACATGACCATGATAATTATCGTGTTTACCTAAATAAGATATAGATTTACTTAGAAAGAAAAACAAATTAATAGGTACTTACCTTCGATCTTTCCCATGACTATAATACACAAAAAAAAAAAAAAATATTATATTTCACTGTATCATTTAGAGATCATTATTTTCTAGTATTTCATTCGATAGTCAACTTCTGAAACTATGCAATCATTATCCAAAGTTATTTCTCAGAATGCATAGGTTTTCCAACAAAAATTGGATTACTTTTCATTAGTGATGTGACAGAATACAAATGCACAGATGAAAAAAATATCCTTATAATCGAATGAAAAGTTCAAAACCAATTCCAAGCTCGTGTCAATCCTTCTTCATAATCTCTAGATGATGGTAAGACAACACTTTTTTTATTTCGGGACTTGATAGGGTCTCTAGAAAACCGTTTTTTTTAAGAGGAAGATTTTTATACTTCGATCTTACTGAAAATGTTCTCATAAATGCAGTTCGTACCGTAGAACCTATCCTGAAGTTTCCTATAGCTAAAGAGATATTCATTAATGTGGGTATATCTTGTTTTGCCTGAAATGGTCTATACTAGGGAACTGTGGATCCAGGTCTGGGCTCGGCTAGGTCCAAACTCGAAGTTTTTTTCATCAATACCTGGCACTCTTCGTGTACATGAACAAGTGAAAGATCAAGGTTTCAGCTATTTATTCGCTGTTCTCAGAAAAAACTCAACGTATAATTATATCTTGCTGCTGTATTTTTCATCTCAAGAGCAGCGGGTCCACAAAAACATGTAGCCGGGCTCAACAAAAACTCAAACTTTGGATCCGAACCCAGTCGGGTGCAGGTCTGGAAGGATCCGCAGCTTCCTAGTCTGTACATATCACAGAATCAACAGTTAGTCTGCGATGTTCTATTATTGATTTGATTTTGTACATAAGATCTGTAAAAAAAAAAAAAGAAAGAAAGAAAGTAAATAACTTACTATATCCCATTAGTCTATGAGCAGAGTTTTCTGCGACAAAAAAACAATCAGGCCATCTTGCAAGATAATGTAAATAGAATGAGAGACCATACTAAAGATCATTGAAAAAATTTTCAGATATTTATTTTTATTTTTTTATTTACAAACCTACGTTCTCTGTGAAAATATCTAAATTACTATGAAAAACCAACAATATTCACTGATGAAATAATACATTTTATCTTACTTACACATTATTTATTCGTAAAAGATCTTTTAATTTAAATTGTCTAACTGATGTCATATTAAGACTTTCAACAAGAAAATTGATCTAAAAATAAAACAAATATATGTGAAAATTGTCAAGTCTTCTGAAAAGATGATTAAGAATGTGTGTCACATATATAAAATATTTCAATAGACAATACCCAACAAATGTTTTATCTACTGAAAACAAATATTAATAAAAACAATCTTATTTGCCATATTCTTTATATTTCTGCTAAATAAATGACACTTATTACTAAGTATCAATGATGAAGAATATCTAGAAATAGTTCTCGAACTGTTTTTCGTAGAAACAAAGAACTCTTACAAAATTCAAAACTTTCTAATTAACTATAAAAATAGTTTTCTGCAATTGTTTGAATGAAGGATTTAAACAAATTTCAAGGTTTGCAAATCAACGATAAAGAGTACATTGTAGCGTTTTCTCAAGCTAACAATAAAACGTTTACAAACGATAATTTTATTCATTGAAAAAAAATCAAAATAAAATAAATACTAACGATGCGTCAATACAGGTGTGTATAGTCAATCATATTAAAACCATAGGGTTATAAGAATCGATCAATTGTAATGGTAAAAATTGTACCAGTCATTGTTTGTCATAAAGACTCGATGAAATTTTCGTTTTTTGCTGGTATATAGATGTCAGTTTTCATTTGAAAATATTTTTAAATATCTTTATATTTCTTATCGAACGAATATGATACATATTGTTGGTGGCGTTGAGAAAAGTCTAATTAGTTAATTGCGGTAATATCAGATGTGGTTTTATTATTTAGAGGAATATCAAACAACTATGTCTGGAAACTCTGACGAATATATAAGTTAACATTATAAACAAAATAGTCTCCTGTGGTAATTCGGAGAAAAAATTAAAAAATTCATTTTGTTTTTTTTTTCATTCTCATTCATTTTACATTATCAAAAGATGAATTTTGGATCGCAACTAATTCGAAGTGTTCTCTATCTACTAACGAAAGAATTTTTGAAAAATAATGTACTGAAAAAAAGAGTTGTATCGAGCTGATCTGAATTGGCGCACTTAGGGCAATCCGGATCAATCAATCAATGTAGATGGGGTAATTCAGATCATTCCAGCAAAAATTGCTACTCCTATCTCCTTGTCTTAATTCATTTCTAATAAAATAGAACAAAACATATCATTCGATAGCCGAAAATGTCTTCTATGGAACTCGAAAATATTTCGATGAATGAATGTACATGTATGATGCTATATTCGTAACATTGACACTTCTCATCAAATAGAAATTTATCTGGGATAATCCGCATCAGCTATGGGTGGATAGAGGTCTAGGGTAGAGTATGCCTCATTAACATGGAATTTTTATGTTCTTAGGCCAAACCCACGTCTTATTTTTCTGGCATAT